GACCTGCGCCTGACAGGGAGGGGGCCGAGCTGCCTTTGCCTTCGGGGAGAGGAGAGAGGACAACACGAGCACCCTCTCACCACCCCCCGAAGCCCAGAGCTGCGGGTGGGGTGTGAGGGAACAGGGTGGTGGGCGAGGGGAAGGGGTGGTCGGCCGGCAGCGCCGGGGACTGCCGGTACCTGCCCGAACCGAGCACGGAACCAGCCCGCAGACCTGCCTCTGGTCTGGGGCTGCCCCGCGGTGAGGTCTGTTGGCGTGGAGATGTCCGTGGAGGTGTGGGATGCTCCACCTGCAGCCAAGTCTGGAAGTCCTGGGTGGGGGGGGTTGAAGCAGGTTGCCTTAAAGAGGCTGGGGCAGAGGCTTACCTTTGCAGGCACTGCTTGGTATGGGTGTTTTTAGATAGGCTACGGCCGCAGCAGGAGTTAGTACCAGTGATGACCGTGAACTTCTCCTAAATTAAGCATGGCTCCACTGCAGTGCTTTCTTCTGTCCCTGGAAGCACATTTCTTGGGAGAAAATCCACCTCAACCATCAATCATGGGTAAAAGTTGGTGTATCCATACCCAGTGTCAAGGGCGACATAAAAGCATCAGCCATGGGTAAATGTTGATACCCATACCCAGCATCAAAGGAGAAGTAAAAAAGAATTTGGTGAAGGCATCAAGTTTTATCTAAGGCTAGATATATCTGGGGCTTACCCTTACATTGTTCGTGTGCCCCACAAACTTCCACCGAGCCTCTAAAAAGTTTGCATGCCTAAGGAAGTTGTGCACAAACATGCCTATGAACATACAGTAGAAGCAAAGAACTAATACCGAGTAAATACATTTTTGCTTGTAGTCTGCCTGGAAAAGTTCCCAGAATATTTATTTACTGTATTTATTCATATTATGTATTTATTTATATTCTGTTACTTATTTACATTAATCTAAGGACATTTGTCCTGGAACTGCACCTTTCTGGAAGAGACTTCTGCATAATGCTTCAAGGACATGGAGGCATATTCTTCCCATATTTAGTTATGAACTTAAGTTGAAGTACTTGAATCATCCTGTGGAGTCAATGGTCCATCTATGAAGCTGAGTCCAAGTCTTTGCAGAAATACAGCTAAGAAGCCCCTCTGAGGTGGTGTCTTTACATTAAATGTTTGGAATGCTTATGAAATAAGTCAGACCTTACTGTTTTCTTCTCTCTCTCTGCAGGCCTTGACCTACCAGGGAGATTTCTCTTTGCAATCTTAACTCTGATGACGCTAATTGCCAACCTGGTGTTTATAGAGGAAGCAGTCTACATCTACAGGAAAATCCCTTCCTCCAAAAGATCAATCATAATTTGGGTTAATGCTGCAGCTCCGGTAGGTTATAATGGAAAAGAGATAAAATTGAACCTTGAAAATGGGGTTTCCCTGGAAATCCACATGAACCTTCTTTATCTTTGCCCTTCATACAACCTTCCTCCCTTTCTCTGTAGGTGATCGCTACTACTTCATGCATTGGCATGTGGATTCCTCGCTCAACAATGTTTACAGATTTCACAGCGGCAGTGTGAGTATTCTGCTTGTTTCTAGACGTTGCCCCAGACCCTGAATTTCTTCCCTTTAAACATCTGCTGCTCTTGGTAAACACAGTCATTTTGTAAATTTAACAATTTAGTAATTTTTGGTTTGAGTTGAAATCTCTTGGCAGCTCGTTTCTGGGAGGTGGAAAATGCTGAAGCAGTTCCCAGTGCTACAGTCCCCTAGTGCGGGAACCTCAGTATGAAAGATCTGTGACTCGCATGTAATTGATCCCTCGGATTGACAGTTGCTTTGAAGCGGTACTCTTTCTTTCTTCTCTCTGCGTGTCATGCGGAGTGAGACTCTGACCTGTGACTTCTCTGCGCTTTTACTAATGATGAGCTGTAGAGATCTGTTATTAACGGTGGCAAGTGAACCTCCAACGAGTATATCAATGTAAAAATGTTCTGCAGTTGTCCTGACAAAAGCACTTTTTTTATGAGCATGACAGCTCTGACATGCACAGAGAAGAAGGGAGAAATGTGGTCCTTGTTTTCTGGAGATGATGGTGCAGCCCTGGTAGGCAGAGCCAGGTGGGGGAATACCATGGTTTCGGGCACTCTGCAGTTGATTTTGGGATGATTTTGGAACCTGCTGCAGGACAGTATCACAGACTTTCATGAATAGACTCACCCCTCGTCACATTGCATTTACTAAGAAAGCAGAGTAAAAAAGGAGGGAAAACACAGTAGCAGGGAACACTGCGAGCATGCAGGATTCGTGCAGGTAGTACAGATTGCCAGAAACTTCTAAGGATCTAGTCCTATGGCACTTTAAGCCTGTCTGAATCCCCTCATCTCCCCCACCCCAGCTGTGGCAGGTTCCTGTCCCCTCACTCTCATCCACCACCACTCAGTCTCCAGCTGCACAGCAAGCTCCCTCAAGGAGGCAGTGCAGCTGAAGAGGGCCTCTTTTATTTGGTGAGGTTGGATTTCAGTGAATCAGTTCCGTAAATCAGTTTGGGACAGGGAGGAAAGGGCGGTTGCATAATCTGTAGTACCTGGGAAGGGTTGAAAAAGTGCAGCTGGTGAAAGAGGGAGAGGTGGAGCGGCAGCAGTCAGTGCTTGGATCAGCTTTGGCTGCAGAGGAACCACACCCTGACTGGGCCAGCACACACAATAATAGCTATGTATATATGATTTATTGTTGTTAGTTGATTGTTTGGGTTTTCTTTTGAGAAGAGGAATTGGACTTGTTCTGAAAAGCTTGGACCAGTCAGGATTAGATAAACTGGTGGAAAAATATGGCCATAATGACTTGGGCCAGAAAAGCCTGCTTTAATAGTGACTTTGCCACCAGCCACCAGTGCGGCTTTGGGAAATTCCACAGCTAATCTGTGCCTCAGTTTATTCCTCTTTTGGTGAGGTTAGGGCAGTTCTGGTCCTCCAAGGTGATGGAAAGCTGAAGGTTTTTCACAGCTAGTGCTAGAATTTCTGTTAATTGCAAAGAACAAGCTGTTGAAACCCTGGACAGAAGGCGGCACTGGCCTGCGCAGGCACATGAGAGACACACAGGCAAGTTCAAGTTTGCATTTTCTTCCTCTCCTAGATTTTTT